TAGAATTTTCTTATCAGAGAGCTACCGAAATTGGACAATTGTGGCTATTGACGTAAGGGTCGATTAGGATTACGGAAGCAAGGGAACACGCTCGAGTAATGGCTGCAAAGTAAGAAATTGACACGATTTCTCTGACGAGTCAATTAAAGAGAAGATTTAATTCAGTGTTTACGTCCGATCGTACGATCGATTTAAGTAGGTTCAAACAGAGCTGCGATTTTTCAAGAGCAGCCTGGATGGTTGTTTGTTTAATATCGCGAAACGGATTGTCCGAAAAAGTAACTCTCTTTATTGTTCGTTGTAACTCGCCTCTCGGAACGATGTTTTCCTACGGTTCCGAAGTTAGAAACATTTACGGCACATCAGCGGTTGTACCGCGTATCCTGCGTCTAAAATATAAAAGACGCGTCAACAAACACGCGAAGCTCCGCTCGTTAAAGATCGTGCTATTTTTGCTGCGGCGATCACTCGCCGTGCGTACGACGACTTCCGTCTAACGACCAGTTTTTCTTTTCCACCCGAGTCATACGCGCGTACGTTTACTTGAGAAAATAAAAAAGCAGAGGACGGAGAGAAACGTATCGCGTCTCGTCGCACAACAATGCCACGCGAAATAAAACAAACGTTCCAAGTTATCCGGGGAGATTTTCGCCAGCTATATTTCGATTATTCTGGACAAGCCTCGCTTGTCCACTTGAAATATTCCTGCAACGTTTCGCCAGATGTTCCGCCGCTGACATTGATGGGTGTTCTCAGGTTCTGATGTATATTATGTAGTTTCTGGTTTTACCGCGGATAAATGGTCGTCCACCGCAGCTTCGATCGACAAGCTGCTTCAGCCTGATCTCCGACATCTTCCGACCTCAACGTTGCCAAAGTTAGAGAAACACCTCGTAAAATTGAATTTTCTCGAGAAACAACTTCAACGTTCACTTCGATTAACAGCCACCTCACCTCTTCGTCAGACTAAAGTGTTTTTTCACCGTGAAAATCGACCAGATTCGAGTTTCTCCACACCTTGGATGCAAGCTCGGGTCGAAACGTATCGCAATTCTCCAGCTGAGCACAGCGGAACAACGTGTACTGCCTTGTACGACTAGAATGATGCATGTCTGTTAATCAGCGGCGCGCCGTTCATATTCTCTCTGTGAAGCGAGAGAGAAAAACAGAAAAAAAGGGAGAGAGTCGTGGTCGTTGGACGATCGCGCGCGTGATTCTGCTCGCTGGCCAACGACAGAGCACGTGTTTTCTGGGTCACGGTACAAGACGTCGGACTCGTTATTTCCGCGAAGCGACGCGCTATTTTCAGTCGCTCTTCGGTTATACGTGGGCTCCGGAACGAGTCCTTTTTCCCTGGCGCCCCCGCTCTCATCCCCATTGACGACTGGAAATAAACTGTTCTCCGCGAGCCGCGCTAACAATGGCCACGGAGTTTTTCATTCAAACCCGTTCAATTCCTTCTCTCGCCGCATCTTAACGGCGCAGGCATGATCGAGATTGTGCGGCTGTTCCACCAATTAGACGACGTCAAAGTTCGGGATATTAATTGCGGTTCCTTCGAGTATTTCTTAATTGACTTCTATCGATGATCGTTCTTCCCCGGGAACAATAGCTCGACTCTAATTCTTATTCCCGTCTTGGATGATCCGCGGCTCGCTGAAATGCCTCCATTGTACTACAAATACGCGCTTCTTATTAACGAGGTGATTTGAATTCGTTCTACCTGGTAGAGCGCGACGTTTCGCCAAGTTCCAGTTAAAATTTCTACACCGGTCTCTGTTCTTAGGGATTCTTTAGTTTCGTACGATTCGACGATATTTAACCACAGAACTGGCCAGTATGGAAAGTGTTAATTTGTCCAGCTCTCGATATCGCGGATTGCAGTAGGACGGTTCGAAGAGAAACCGCCAAATTCGCGGGGAGGAAAGGAACAAGGAGGAGAGAGGAAGAGAGAAAGGAACGTGTGTATCGAACTGACTTCATTTTCCAAAGGATTCGAAGACGTTTATTCTCTCGCTCCGCGTTGAACGAACGCGTTTCTGGCAACCGGACGGACGAGAGGAAGCACGTGCTCTGGTGGCCGTGGATGCATCGGCGTCGCGGCGTATCTATTATATTTTTGCGATACGTCAAGCTATTCTGAGACTGTCATCGGTGCTCTAGGAATAAACCATCCATCACGGTGAACTAATTCGACGCGTACGCTAGATCTGTGCCCCGATATTTTCTTGTGTCTTCTGTCCGACACCGGCCACGTCGCGCCTCCACGTTTCACGCTTACGTCACCGATGGACATTGATAAATAGTTGGACGTTGTCCCACCTTGCGATGTGTAATTAAACGACTGAATTGAAATATCGATTTCCACGTGTCATCGAGGGATCTATCAAGGTATCTCCAACGATTCTCTATTCAACCGAAAGATCCTAGCACAGCCGTGTGTGTTCCCCTCTCTCTCTCTCTCTCTCTCTCTCTCTTTCTCTTCGCGTAGTTGTTACGGAATTGGAGCGTGGCGCTTCAATGTCTGACGCGAACGGGACTTATCTACTTGCTCGCGTTAGCCATTCACGCTGCTTAATTAACGTAGCACCTTATTTCCAGCGAAACTACACACGAGTTCTTTTATCGAAAATCATTCCAAACTACCGATCTACAATCTTCCCCCAAAGGCAACAATTCCATTCGACGCGGGAAACCTTTAGCGTAATTGAAACGGCGTAATCACACCGGAGCAAACTCCTCGAAAGTCGCATAAACTTCCCCCGTTTAATATTCGTGCAAATGGGTTTGCCGGTCGAATCCCCCGCGTCGATGCAATATCATCCATCGCGGCGAAGGCGAAAGAGGAGTGGAGGAGAGAGAAGACGGCGGAAAACGGTCGAACACTCGGGCGACAGGGAGAGAGCGGCTTTCAGGAGGAATCTGCGGGCGGCGTGAAAGGTTCTCGAGCAGCATCCGGCAGCATCGAGCCGCTAACTAACAAAGAGCTTTCAGCCCGGAAAATTCGTCTGGGCTTTGTTCACCGTCCGTGGACGATTCACCGGCCGGGAGAATCGTTGCGTTTCCGGGGCTAATCTGTCCTTTATCTCGCGCTGGAATCGCTCGCGACCTCCGAACAGGAGGGCGAGAAACATTTGTCCGCGAGCACAATGCCTCCCGACTCTGTCCCGTTCCGTTCAACGATAAGGACACCTTCGAAAACGCCTCGCGAATCGGCCAATCGCTTCGTTTCGCCGCATCGTAACCGTTGAACAAGGTCGGTTTAATAATACCGATTGTTAAGAATCTCTTTCCCAATCGAACTGTCGATTTGTCGTTTAATTCGTAGGATCAACGGACGATATTTCGATCGGGTGGAAGTTTGAAAGTGAATTTTTAGCGTTAAACCGGTGTACAATAGCGGTAGAAATGTTGGGAATCGACCCAGGACCCTCGCGGCCCCGCGAAGTGGAGCGTGGAGATGCTCTCTGGCGGCACATCTCGCTTCCACTTCCACTTTCTTTCTCTCTTCTCTTTTCCTTCTCGCCCCCTTGCTACTTTGCTCGTGGAACACCTCGACGCCACCTCTCGACCATTCTCGTTCCAGACCAGACGAGATCCGGCGAAAGCGGCGCTCGACGTTTCCGCCTTCTCTTAATTGTAAAATTCGTAGTCGCCGGTACCCCGTGCTCTTTGTACCAGACGTAGGGAAACGCAGAGGAAGAAAGGGGAACGATCTAATTTATCGTTGGAAAAGCAGAGAGCGGTAGAAAGTTTCGGTATCAAACGACTCCTGCAAATTGACCGAAAAACTTTACGTTTTTCCACGTTCTCCCACCCGGAGGGAGATTCCTGTATTTTATCCAGATGGAAAATCGTCGGTTCAAAGGGGCGAAATTTCAAGTCGCCGGGTTTTAAAAGAATCTCTCCCTTTTCGAAAGGGTCTCGTATCCTTTGAAGATTAAGACTTCTTTGATCCAGCGAAATAAAGAAGGGGGGAGGTGTACCGGTGGAGCGAGAAAGCAAACTCGAACAGAAACCGGAGGAGAACTTGGAGGATCGATCGATCGGCGGTACAAAAGTGCGGAGAATCGCCTGGAAAGGAAAACAGCGATATCGTAGGACGAGAAACACAAGGATGCTGCGGACAGAAGCAGAAGAGCGAGGAATTTTGGCGGCTGGCCTGACGCTTATTTTCAATTGCTCATGGACGAGCGTTAATTATGATTTGCGTATCTGTTTGGCGTGGTGCCTGTCTCGCTCACCGATCGACCCTCGAACTTTCCTACCGTTCAAATGGATCCTCGGCTTTCATCGTCGACGTGAGTTACGAAAACTCCCTCAAGACCACGGTGTGCGTACCCACCTCACCCCGCCGGTAACTTGCAGCTCGACGATCCGGCCGATATTGTACTGGAAAAAGAATCCTCGTTTAATCCCTGGACCATCGCGTTAATCCGTAAGCGTAGCCATTCGAACCTCCCAATTCCGAAAACTGACCTGAACGTTTCTCCGACTAGGCTCCGTCTAGCGTAGCCAGAGTAGCGATTTTCCATTCCAGTAGCTTCGCTAATTATCCAACATTCCATCGTACGAAATTAGCGGTTTCCTGTTACAATATTCCGTTGATCGATCTAGCGATCAGTTGTAGCAATCCTCATCCCCTTTCCTCGTAACACACCGTTAATTCTTGATCGATCTGTCACCTCGCCGATCTATCAAGCTATCGCAGTTCTACTAGGCTGTCGACCTAGTGGCTTACCAGTCTAGTAGCTCATTAAGAGAATAGCTCGGTGGTATAGGGGCTGTTAGTCCAGAGGTAGCGCAACCTAGTTTTCGTTTGTACATCCTATATGTATACGTGTATGTATATATATATGCGCGCGCGCGCGTGTGTGTGTGTGTATATGTATATACGAGCAAGCGTTTCGTTGTAACACGTACGTTGTGTGTATATGTGTATAATCGCCGCGGCTGATCCGGGGGACACTTTAACCGACGCTCGTGTCTTTCTTTTTCAGATCGCTGCCGAAACTCAGCAGCCAGGACGAGGATGGGCCGAACCCCCACACCCAATACACAGGCGTCACGCATTTCGAGCCCATACCGCACGATCATGACTTTTGCGAGAGGGTCGTCATTAACGTGAGCATAACTTTACACGCTGCTTCTTCTTTCTTTCCTTCCTTCTTTCTTCTTAATCGAGTCTCGATCGATTTTCCTGTTAGACTTCGGCAATTCGGTCGAACAATTAGACAGCAGATTCTCCTTTTTTTCCTACGTTTCGAAGGAGGTCAAGATCTAGACGAATAGTACTATACGTAGTCAACGTAGAAACGTGGAGAAACTGCTACTAGAGAATCGGGTGAATTTATCGGTCTCCAGGAAAAAAGTTGCAGGCAAAAGTGATTTTCCACGGTATGATCGTCGCAACGATTAAATCTCGGCTAATCAACTATTAAAACCACTCTGAAACGACGGCGGAGTTAACTGTCGGAAGGGTGAATACTTGGGGGTGGAACATCGTTTTTTCATCGGTATATATCGCCGCGCCGTCGCGTTTTCACACGTCCTCTTCTATTGGCCGCCTCTGTCGGGAGACAGTGGAGATAATTGGAGTCGAAATTCAGCTCGCGTCCACCACGCTGCAGCCGGGAATCCTAGCTCGCGGGTGAAAAACCTACCACCGACCCGTATTTGATCGCAATTGCCCGGAATAACGAAGCGTACTTGTCGCGCCAAAGAAAACGAGTAAAACCGACCGGATAAAAGTGGCGAAGAAAAAGAAAGAAGAAGAGCGTTGAGAACAGGTCGAAAGCGATGCAAATCGTTCTCTCCCTCGACTGGGTTCGTCGCGTAAACAATCCTGCCGTAGAGATACCGTTAGGTTTTACGGGATCGTTACCGGAAACGAGCCGCATTCCGATCGATTTCCACGTGTTTTTCAATACCAATGCATACGCCGTTTGCTTGTCCCACTACGGTACACGTACATTTCTTTTCTTTCCGACGAGGCAAGATTATCTCAAGACACGAAGTGACCTACAGACCGTATTTTGGCAGCCGTCCAAGTTCGTCTTGGAATCAGGGGCAATATAGTATCAAGGTCGTATTGTGTGAACGGAATTATCTGTCCTCGTGGATGACACGACTGCATTGCGCCAATTACAGTAACCGTTCGATCCTTCCTGCGAAAAATTCCCGATACCGATCGTTTCACGCCTCATCGATTCTTCCTACACTTCCCAAGAAATTTCGTAGAAAAATAATTGCTCATTTTTATTCTCCATTGTCTACCTTGAAGAGGTACCCGAGATTCGCGAAATTCTTTCGAAATCCTCCAAGCGCATATCTCGCTCCCATCTCGCGGCGTAATTTTATTATGAAACTGCTCGGCAAGGGGGATGATGGAACGGAGACCGATCGAAAGGCGATTTCCGCGAGAAATCGTGGCC